TTGCTTCGAATATCAACTCATATCGCACATGTGCACAATAAACATATGAAGTACGATAAGTAGGATAGGTAAGTAGGTAAGACACATGGGATAAGTAAACAGGATAGTAGGATAAAATAGGATACATATGAAGTAGGATCTAATCTACGTATGAAGTGAAAATTGATGATGACAAGCATGCTTTTAATTTTACTACATCACGAAGCGCGTAGGAAAGAAGATGGTTGGTCCTGATTTTGCGTTGGTAGACTGAGTCGTGCTAACAACATTTCCCAACACCATTGCTTATTTCATATTGGCACTTAACTGGTGCTCTTGTATCTTGTAAGAATAAGTGGGTGAAAAAATGCTCGATTTTCTGGATGTCACTGATTTCAGGCCGACATGGACGCAGCAGGCCACGTGTTTCGCATGGCATTGCTCGTCCTAGAATATCGATCGAGTAAACGGTCACATACGAAGCGAAGTAACACACAGGCTGAACTAACGGTGTGCGAAATGAAATGACATCCCGTCGCCATGTCATAGATGAGCCAAGCTATAGTCAGAGATGTTTACACTGTTATACTGTTGTGTTTGTCAGTTTATGGATAGCTTTGGGTTAGACAGATGCGGAGTTCATGCATTTAGTCATTTTACCCATGTAGTGATCAGGTTCTCATTTTAACCATTTTACCCGTATAGTTTGTCAGTCTATGGATAGCTTTGGGTTAGACATGTGCGGAATACACGTATTATGCCATTTTACCCTTGTGGTGACAGCCGCCAATTCATGCAATGTTTTAACATTCTTCCTATAACACTATTTCAACGTAACCAAGTGTCTTCGGACGGCATTCCGGTCGAAATCATGGTTCAAAAGATGCTTCTGGCAACCGCGAAACATTAATGCATTCCACCCGTAGGTTTCCCACGGCTGGGTCCGCAGGCACTGCCACTTCCCCCTTGTTCAAACGACACAGTTTATTCCTGTTTGCATTGCATGAGCGAATCCAACCTGTGCCTGGTCCTCGAGGACTACCCCATCACGACGTGAAAATGACGCAAGCCTTTTTCTTACAGTCAGCTCAACCAGCATGGTTCTTGATGTCTTTAGCATTCGGCAGAACAGGAGACTCCCTGGAACAGAGGCTGGTGAAATCTCGCGATAATTTGCACCGAGCAAGGCAGGATAGCTTTGGCGCTAGCTTGGCCCGTAAACATGCAAAACGAAACTCCATCGTGCATGAAAAGGAAAGAAGGCGTGCAAAATGCCAACGTAGATTCAACGTCCCAGGGATTATATCCAAAAACTACCATGTGGTACTGGTGAAACTCCCCACAACAATTGGAAGATGCTCTCACCCACAAAACACTGCTGTTGAATACATAGCTCATTATCGTTCCTATGTTGAAACATTCATGATTTTTGGAAGACTCCGTATCATTATTCTTTCCTTTCCACAATTGCCGTACCTGTTGGCAAAGCGATGTCCTCGTTTTACCAAGTGACTGTACGCATCAGCGATCTGCTCTGAAGAACAAACGAAGATTTGACCTGCGAATGAGAAGAAAAGGAGTTTG